CATTTTGCATTAGGTAGCAAATAAGCATTGCACTTGCTAAACATTAACGAGTCAGTATCGTCACTGTGCGCATGTCACAGCTTTAGCATTTAGCTTAAAGTATTGCTGTGCTTTGCTATGAAGAGCTGCAAGTATGGCTGCAGACTTAAAAAAACATAAACATTGTGACATTTAAACAAATTTCTTTTTCTTTACGATGTCTGCAGCTAACAACAGCCTGTCTTATCTTGTTGTTAAGAGATTTATAATTTACTCTGTAGGGACAAATCTTCAGAAAGTCGTCCACAGACTCAGTGAGCTGCCTCCCAGATCATGAAATATGTTGTGTTTTGCACAGCACAAAAATATTGAATGGACTTCAAGTATTCTGAAACGTGATACTACACCTGTTTCCAAAGGACACATAACACTTCCAGAGTAAATTTCAACTGGTACTAACTTCCACATCTGATTCTGGAAATGCTAGAGATTAATCTTGGAAAGGTTTGGCCTCAGAGAAGGAAGTCATTTAGGGAGGGAATTTGGCTTAAACTGAACAGGGTGTGACTGACTGTGTCTGTGTGTATGTGTCCAGATTAATTGCTTTCTCAAGATTTATAGTTAACAAAGAGAGGGGATGTGGGCAGTTATTTGTGCGTTCTAACATGATGAGCGCCATTCTTCTTGACAGCCTTCACCCTCCTCCTTTCAGCTCGCTCCTGGTATAGATCAGATTCTTCTTATATCTGGTTTGTATCATGCATCACGTGGTCCGTGAGGCCTTTCATTTATTCTCAGTCTTATCACTTTCGCTGCAGCCTGGCAAGCCTCTCACAGCAGCCACACGTCATTTGAAAGGTACAGTAGCCATGTTGCAATCTGCAGCTACAGTTAATGAGCCATGAGACAGACAGGGGTCACCACTTCCCACACCGATTAATATGTTCCAACTTTTGTTTGGCAAAGATTTAATGCATTGTTTTGCATGGATCCAAACTAAGTCTGTGTGCTGGGAATCCACTCCAGAAAAATACTAACGGGCCTTGGCTAAATTTATGTCCCTGCTAGATACTTTGAGTCTTTTCACTGTCAAATAGATGTAATTATGATGAGTTACTTGCTGAAGTGCAAAGATAAACATAGCCGTGGTGGAATAAGTGTACCACAATTTCACCTCTTAAAGATGCCCTTCAGGGTAAATCAAGTTTTTTTTCTTTTTTTTTCTCCCACCTTGTTAACATGTTCATATGGTGTTTTTTATAGGCTGGAAAACACATCATTAGAAGAATAAGCAGTCCCTTCCGTGGCTGGGCATTTCCATTTTGAAATTGCGTTTCATTCTGGGCTACTGTGTTGTAAATTTGTAAACTCTGTGTCTACAAAGGACTAATTCTAAGCTAACAATTATTCTGATTTTCAGGTAATTTTACACCAATGAAAAAAAAAGAAGTGAAATTGTGTCATTTGTGCCAATAGACACCCTTTGACCCTAAACACTGGACCTTTAACGTTGCCAGTGTATGCTCGGGCAACGCATGATTGATGTGATTCAAGTTCTGTATAGTGTAGTTGTTTCCAGCTTTGTTTAACATCTTGCATGTGCAGATAATTGGCTGTGTGTTTCTGTTATGGTCCATGTCAGGTTCTGCTCTGAATTCTAGATTATACAGGAACAGCTGTGGCGACCACGGACACGTAGCTGCTGTTATTACACTACATTAGTAGTCTGCTTGGAAGACATTGTTCCATACATGTGCAGTAGGTTGTATCTATGTGTTCTGCACATCCAACTATTGCCCTTGTAGCATGTTTGCGATGCGGATGCACAGGAGTCCACGTGGAGCTTGCTGAAAGGAAATCATTCAGATTGGTTGGGTTTAATACAGTATTAATTGTATTGTATGGTCTTCACCTTAGCATGTGAAGATGTTTCTGAAAGCCAATGAGATTACACTTTTTAAAGGTGATACAAGCTCATTACAGTTTGGGCTGCGGTTCCCTCTCGATGTGGTTATTTCTGAGGTTTGTCGAGACCACTAGGCGGATATAGTACGGCATTTCTAGGGAATTCTCACTGTGTTTGGGCACTGTCAATACAAAGCATGTACAAATCAAAGTATCTCCAGAAGCAAGTCCAGAACTGACTACTTCAATTATAAAGATGATATGAGAAGAGACTGCAAGGAGACTCTCTAGGCGCCAACTCATGCTTCCCGTATGCACAGGCGACTCTGTTCATACTTCAACAGGTACATGTCAGACCGCTACACGGATAGTTACAGTTCTCCTCATGTCAAACACAGAAGAAAACTGGGATATCGCAGCTGGTTATATATTATGCTGTAGCACCGTGTCAAGAGGATTAGGACATAGCACAGGATTTCTGGGGAAATCAGAACTTCCTATCATGTTTAGTCTCCATCGATGAAATGCGTATTCGAATCAAAGTGCCTCCAAAGCCCTGCAGTGACTACTTTCATTAGAACTCTTGTAATGATGAATTGTAAAGTTGTGGACGATGGAGAATCTTCTCACACATTCTCTCCTCATACCATACATACCAAACATTTGTACTATTTATTTTTCTGGCACATGTGCAGTGGGCTCACTGCAATCCATGCAGATTTGGGTGGATGACAAAATTCATGTCACGTATACCCTTACAAAAGCAGAAATTGGTCCTAACAAGCATTTGTTAGCCCCCTTTGTTTTCTTGGCACCTGTGCAGTCAATTCGTTTGCGGTGCAGACAGTCTGCGTCGTCACAAATCTTGGGCTGCCCCCTGACGTCAGCAGAGGGGGTCAGCACCGACCCTTGCAGACAAAATTTACGTCACTGGTCCTCTTGCAGACATGTGTACATGGAAAGCATGAATTGGCCTTAACACTGGCCTCAGAGGGGAGTCGCAGTGTCTGTGACAGAACAGCTGGGGAGAGCTGATCTCATTAGTGGCCTGATGGGAAGACTGCTGAGCTGAGCATTCCTCTGTAGGAGAAGTGGAGGAGATGCAGAGCTTTCAGTGTAAAAATTTAGAAATAGACCAGCAGAACAAAGGGATTAACAGAAAGCAACCCCCTACAAAGGTTCTTACCAAAGCTGGTCATGGATAAAAAGAAAGTGCTCAAGGCTCTCTGAACATGAGGAACCAAACTGGAAAAAGAAGTTGGTCTTTCTGTTTCCTTTTGATCCACAGAGCAGAAAAGACCGGAGTCCATTAAATGTTAGTAAATGTGGTTTATACTGTACAATGAAAATTTATTGGAATGACATGGAATTTAAACAGACTCTGGGTGCCGTGTTACTCTGAGGAGAACTGCTGAGATTGCTGCGCTCTATTTTTAACTTTTTGGCACGTATGCTAAATTTGGACACAGATAATGGCAGGAAAGAAGGGGAAATGAAGTGCAACGTAAATCATGGCAGCGACTCAAACTCTCGGATCCGTGAGCACAACAGCATCAATCACACCTTGCGGACAGCCCCCTTATCCAAATGGATAAGAAGTTGCTACTACGTGCTGTGATGTGTGTCCACAGAGTTGGACTTTCAGATGTCATCCACTTGTGAGATTGGAATCTGCCATGCTGATCAAAAGGGAAACAGAGCAGACAGACTAATTGCATTAAGATTGACTGTGATTGTGAGGAAGGAGGCGAGGGCACTGACCATCATTACTCACAGTCATTACCAACCATCACTGATTTACAAATAGGATTTCAATTTTATTATTCGCATTGTTTTGGCTAAAATAAAAGTACTAATTAAGGTATTACACCTATTTATATGTGTGTGTATATGAGTGTATATAGAGTTTACCATGAAAACCTCCACCTGTTTGTCACCTTTTTACTTGAAAGTTGGATTTCTTAAATCTTATTTCAATGTAAAAAAAAAAATGATTACAGTGCCAATGAACTCGTTTCAGTTTAATGTATTGAGTCTTAAAGCGACACAGAGAAAAAAATAGAGTGGGAGGGAGGGACAGAGAGAGAAAGAGAGGTGTAGGAGAGAGAGAGACAGAGAGAGAGAGAGAGACCCTGAGTTGGCATGACGGCTCTTGGAGCTCTGACAGGAAACTTTCTTGCTCGTTGCTCCGCTCCTCAGCAGCAGTCAGTCTCCAGAAACGGCGCAGTTTGACCGTCTGAAATGCACTTGACTGGACTCTGCGGGACTTTTTCATCCTGTGAAGTCATGGCTGTTCACCTTCATTCACCGACAGCGCGCCACTGAACGTAAACAAACGAGCCGGAGAAACGAAACTTTGGACCCAAATGACATTCATGCGTTTCTAACCCACGTTGGATTTCATGATGGAGACTTTATTTTACCTGCTTGCCTTCGTGTTACCCCGGCTATGTTCGGGTCTTGGATACGCGGAGTCCACTACTATTCAGACGGGTCAGAGAGCGGCGAGCAGACACAGGTGAGGTCGATTTGAAGGGAATTAGCCGTGCGTAAAAGTCGTGCGTAAATCTCGCAAAGGCTGTTTTTGTAATAGATAGACATTATAAGATCCGATTCAAAACCTCTATCAGAAAAATGTTTGTCTTAAGTTAAATGATAACGAGGTTTATATAGTAAACTGCTGCTGTTTTGTGGTTCTCAAAGTAAGGTTCGAGGTCCCTCTCATGGAGGTTCCAGTGGGTCTCCTTGGCAAAACATGACATTAAAAATCAATTGATCGGTCAATAATTGCTGATCAAATTTTTGTTGCATTTTCTCTCTATATATAATTTGAGTGTTTTGTGCTTTTTGAACACATAGTTTGACAGAAAATACACTGTCAGGATGGCATTTTTTATTTTAGGGAATTATGTTGGAGCTATTTTCAGTTTTTCTAACGTTTTTCTGGTAAAGTAGAATTGAAAATTACAATAAAATCTTCCCATGGCAGCTTCTCATTTGGGACTGTGACACTACACATGTTTGTTTCAGAGTTCATAATGTCAAAATAGATGAAAGGTTTTTTTAAAAGTACTCATAGACTGAATTTTCATTTTCACAGGAAATGTCTCTTTGGTGATTAGGTCTCTTACTCAGTGGGGGCCCTGCATGGGGAGTGATGGGTGGGTGGGTGAGTGGGGGTGTGATGATTCAAGGGGGCCCAGAGCCGGACAGGGCTTATAGGGATTACCGATATTTACTGTTCCAGAGCCTCAAGTGAAAAGTTTTCGGGAGGCCCAGAATCTCTACCAGCGCCTCCAGTGTCAGCCCTGCTGGAGGGGAATTTATCATCCTGCCTTCGAGCATCTTACAGTCAAGTAGAGTTGAATGGGCTCTGTGGGGAGTGACAAGTTGCAGGGATGCTGGATTTTAAACACCATTAATCCTAAAGAAAGAAAAAAAGTGCCATTTTTACACTAATTTTCATGTTGAGTGATCCAAAGGCTGCCCATGACCCTACAGTTGTTCCACATGCTACCACCATCTTTCTCTCTTTTATAGGGCTGGAAGGAAATTATTTAGATCTTTAGTGACTGCTGATTAATAGTCACTTGTAAATCAGTGATCGCTGCCGAGGTCCACGCACATAAAGCTGTTAATATTGTCAGTGAGCCAAAGCATGTATGTTTTTATTGCGCTGTTGCAGCTCCACAGTGTGTTACTAGCATGTAATTGATCTTCTGCCCGAGGGGTCTGCGAGTGGAGGACCCCCTCACCTCTACTGGCTGCTTGTTTGTGTGCTTGTAAAAGGAAATTTTTCGTCAGTTTGGATGACTAATAATGTTGCGTGCATGTGTGTCACAGAGTGAATGAATGACAGATCGCTCACATGTGGTGCAGGTCTGCCTGGATGCCTGCATGTGTTTGCACTTAGTGTGTGTATGTGTGGAAGGCAGGCCAAGCTTCTGGGAGTGGAGCTCCTGCAATATGAGCTTCTATCAGGTTTCTCTCCACATCAGAGTGCAGCCTGCTGCTGCTGCTGCTGGTGCGGCTGCCTGACTGATGAGATATGGTCTCTCTGCTGGTGTGTGATGAAGCTGGAACTGTTGGCTACTGTGAATGAAGGAACGTAGGAGGCAGGCAGACAGACAGAGGGGGACACGGGAAGAAAGATTTTGATTGATGAAATGGAAAGCGAGACATAAGAAGTCTAGAGAGGGATAGATGAAGAGAGGAAACAGATGAGTCTGATTGCGAAAAGTGGGATAAGTGAGAAAAAGTTGGAGTAAAAAAAACTTTGCAGGACAAGAGAAAGCAGTTAAAGAGAAACAGAATATGTGAAGTGAGAGCAGGCGTGACAGGAGAGGATGAAAGAGTGAGAAAAGGCAGGGCGGAGCGACACGACGAGAGAAAAGGCAGACTGACAGGGGAAGAAGAGGGGCCTGGGTTCTTAAAAGCCTTCCCCCTGCTGAACTCTGCAGGCTGTGAGGGAGTCAGCATGGCTGGCCTGCGACACACTCTCAGGGAGAAGAATGCACTGGCCCGTGGCAATGTGGTTTGCCCCTCTGACATCTGTTTGAACTCAATTGATCTGTTTTGACACATGTGTGAAGTATTCCAACAGTGGCAGAGGCTATTGAATGAAGCGTAGACATCCAGCAGGCGTCTTATGATGGGATCAGGAGGAACCAGAGCTGTTTGACACATCTCTTGCCAAAGTGTCAGCTGCACGTCAAAGCTGCAGACAGCGACGGGCAAAGACGGAAGAAGCAGAAGGTTTGAGGCCAGGTGGATGGTTGACCTGTTTTGGCTCATTAATAGCTTGATGGACAAGGAATTAGATCACCACTGGTTGGTAGGAAGAAGCAGATACACAAGAGGATTCACTTTATCATACTAATGAGGGTACTTTAAAAAGTTCTTGGTCCTCACCAAAAAATGTCACAAGAAAGATTGTTCTTGCATTATTTTTAGACAAAGTCTCCTTCAACTAAAATTATTTGATCCACTGATGTTCAAGAAGGTCACATCTTAAACCTCTGAAAATGGCAACCACACAAGTGAGATTTCAGTTTAGGAAACAGATAGAAGTCAGACGGTGCAGGTCGGGTGACCAAGGTTCATGGAGCAACAGTTCAAAGCCACATTTGGCTGCTTCTGCCATCTGAGCTGTGTAGATGGACGCATTGTCCTGGAGCAGCAGCAGCAGCTTGAATATTTCCTCTCCTTCTTTCTTTGATTGCTCTAAACATTTGAGTTTTTGTGGACAATGATATAAGGCTTTATCGTTTACAGTTTTGCCCCACAAAGGGGAGTTACACCCCATGATGATGAATAACTTGTCAAAGTGCCCTTATATCTTCTCCTACACTTTGAATTTGCACTGTGCTGCTCCATACAGGGCTCATAAAGGTAGACTAATGCATTGAGCTTGTATTCAGTAATTGGAGCTCCAGATCTCAAGGAAATCGTAATACATCAGCATAAAGTGATGCTGTCTAACAATTGGCAGTTGTTTTGGAATGAGATGGTCACCTCACTTCTCTTGTCCATGCACTTTATGTGAATGTCTGCATTGTTTGAATTGCATGAATACTTTGGCCGAAACAACTCAGAGAATCTATCACTTGAGAAACTTGAGGAAGCTTGGTTACTAAAAATCAGCTCTGTTTTATCTATTTAGACTATAGACAGCTTTGCTGTGTTGGTGTGGATTACAAAATGTAGAAAGAGAATAGCAAGAGGTGAAGAGTAGAGACGGACCAGAGAAAACCACAGAGCGTGTCCAAAGTTTGGCTTCAAATCATGCTGCAAAAGTGTTGTAAAACTAGTCATCTACAAAAGTACAATGTTACTGCCTGTCCATCCAGGAGGAGCTGCAAGAAGAAGACTCTATATTTTCATATTCTGTCTTTCCTCAACTTGCTGTCTAACCAGCTAACCGTTAACATCAGGTATTTTCTCACAGGTGGTGACTCTTTTTTTTTAAAATCCCTGCCGGATTCCATCGGATGTCCTCTTAAGAAACTGTGGAGGATATTTTGGCAGCCAGTCATTCTTCCTGTCAAAATATGCTTCTTCATCTCCTCCAACTTTTGCCAAAGAGCTGCTGTCTTGTCTGATCTCTGCGTAGGACTCGGTTTAGATATGGAACTATGTGACATAGCCAACCATTTTTTATTATTTCTTAAAGGAAATCAAATATTTGTCCATTTTAAAGGACTTGTCCTATTTTCTCTTTTGTATATTTTCTGTTGCTCTTATCCGATTACTTGATTATACATTGGAATATCCAGTATAACGCTCGATTAACTACAATAATCAATAGCTGCATCCCCGATAAATATTCGGAATACCACACAATAAGCTCGTCCTTTAGACAACAAATACAAGTGGTTTGGTTACAGAAGCTACTTAACTTGAGGAGAACACTGAAAATGTCAGTGTGGAAGTTGTGTAACAGCAGCTGCAAAGAACAAAAACTTGTTTACGCGAGTTGTTGTTTACTTGCGTATTTTTGTTGCTCTCGTGGCTAACTGAATTGTCAGTCGTAAACACTAAGATTTGTTCTGCATCGTTTATAATGAAATGACAAGGCTTTCTTTGTTCTGCAGCAGAATTTACGGATCACAGGGAAAAATAAATCAAACATGGAGATACCGGTTTTATGACCAGAAGTTACCTCAGGGTGCAACTGAGCCACAAGACACTCGACTCCTCTCGCTTTCTTTCTCTCACCGTCTGTTTCCACTGATGCTGCTCTTTCTGCCAACATACAGGAGCGGTGGCTCAAAGTTCGTGCCTCCTCACTTGTCAAAAGGAATTTGGGGAAATGTAGAAGCAGCAGCTCACAGACAGGAATTACATTTGTGAATGGAGTTTGGTCATTTAGGCACGGACAGGCAACAACTGGTTGTAATTTAGCTTCTTTTAATAATTGCATCCGAACAACTTAATCAACCCCCAGTGGCTCCAGTGCAGCAGAGGCAGACTGTGGTTGCAGCCCTTCTGTTTTTGCCGTAAAAACGTTATGCTGGTCAGTGACAAACATGCAGAAGCTATCATCTTTAAAACTGCTAGATATGAGCTTGTAATTCATCCCTGCTATCCATCAAATCAGGCACAAAAAATAAGCGAAAAGAACATTTTTGTTCAACAAACTGCTTCAAATACAGTTAGAAAATAAACAATGGCTGTGACTGGATTCGATCTGTCTGCACTGTAGCGCACTGATGCTGATACCAGCTCCATTTCTTGGCTCTGTGGACGGTAACATCAGCCAGCTGATCCAGACTGGAATATCTTAACATCCTGGATAGATTTTTCCCTGTAGGACCACCATGCGGTTGAATCCTGTGGTTTTGAGTGAAATCTGTCAACATCCATGGGACAGACTGCTATGATTTTCACTAGAGAAAGTCTCTATATTGGACTGGAACCACCCACACCATACATAGCTAGTTTAAGGCACCTGTTTGAGGACGGAAAGACTCCATGTTTCTTTCATTCATAGTGCTATTGATATGCTGAATGGAAATT